ATTAAATTTGAATTACATCATGAATGAGATTCAATACTTTCCTAAAATAGCTTTCTAATTTAGGAAACTATTCGAAATTCAAATGATGAAAATAATTATTTGAACTCTTTAGGTAAGCATTAAGGTGGCATTGACTCCTCATGCATAAACAAGGGTGGCTTACGGTGTGTTTGTCTTGGGTGGGGCGGTGGAGGAGCTAATGGAGAAAAGGGATTGGGTTGGTGGTTAGGTTGATGTGAGCTTTGGTAGGAGGGGTTAAGGGGGTGGTGGTTGGTGGTGGGGGATGGCCGGAAGGTGGAGGATGGTGAAGAGGATGAAGATAACGACTAGGAGTAATAAGAAGGAACACAAAACAAATAAACAAAATATAAAAGATACGACCGCGAGCCCGGACACATCCTGCGGCTGACGGGTACTACGTTGCCCTCCTCCAAAGGACTTCATGCCACGAGCCCGGACCCATCCTGCGGCTGGTGGAAACTCCAATTCTCTCCCATAGGGATTTCACTAACGTTCTCTCCAAAGAACACAAGTGCAAACAAAATTTTATTAATAATCCATCATACCTGATACATGAGAAGGGGCCTCTATATATAGGACTCAAAAGAAATTAAAAGACACATTTGCCCCTTGGGCTTACATAAGACAAGAGGGTAAAAAGGGAAATTGCACAATTAAATCAAAATACACTTAATAGACTAAAATAAAATAAAGTGATCTCGGTCGTCGATCTTCAGCTCCTCCTCGGATAGGCATGGACGGTTGGATGTCCGCATCAGTCTCTGCCTCCATTCTTCTGCAACTACCCGACATATGCATCGTAAGCAAAGGACAGATGATTTCTATGTTAAGCAATGCCTCTTATGCTCTTCTATTCTTTCAGCACGATGTTTCTGATTGTCTGTTTCCCGCTCAAATGTAGAACTCCAAAGTTTTTTTCTTCTAATTTGTGAGATGAAGCACTAATAATCTACATAGGAGAGAACTCAAATGATAATTTAGTTTCATGTTGTCTTTTTCTGTCTTTTTATCTTCATATTCAGTAGCAATTTGTTAAGTTGATTTTTTTGTTGAGCTAAATATGATGTGTGATAACTAATAAGGACGATTAATTTCTTTAAGATGATTGTCATCAAAATTTAGGACATCTAAAAATAGATTAGATATTAGTAAAAAAAAATTGATGATGAGACATTGAGTTACGGAGAATGTTATAAAAAAAATTATTATTAAAAATTGACAAAAATGAAATATTATTGAGACATTTTATATTTTTAAGAAGGCAAAAGCTATGCATTATTAATGATTTAAAAGATTGTTTGGATATATGAGACAGTATGCACTAATCAGATATCAACATAAATGAGAAATTATATTTCATTTGAGTTGATTTTTTTTACAGTTAACAATAACCTACATTAATTAATTATATATATATATATATATATATATATATATATATATTTGCTCTCTATTCTTTTGACACAAAGTTGTCAATTTGAAACATTTAGTCATGAATTCTATGTCTTTTATGTATTTTGATTTTGCCCCAAAATTATGGAGAGATATTTTAAAAAGCTGTCAAGACCTTGCTTACCAACACCTATAGAGGATTCCCAAATAAATGATGATGAGGATAATCCAAAAAGATGTCAAACTCATATTGAATCATAAAAAAACTTGGAAACATATATAAAATTTTTTCAATCAGATCCTAGATTACGTATAAATATTTTTGAATTTAACCATAATATTCAAGATCAATTTTGAATGTCATATTTATAGAAAGGGGCATGCTAATCTCACAATCATGACTTCCGTAAAAGTAAGTTTGGTTTCAAAAATATACGTTTTAATATGAGTTGATTCGATAAATACTTTGATTGGTTGGAGCACAATACATATAAAGATAAAGCTTACTATTTGTATTGTTACCTTTTTGGAGTAAAATGAAGAAGAAAAAAATAGATTAGACAATTACTAGAAATGGATTTTCAAATTGGAAAAACAACCTGATAGATTTGATCTTCATGTTGGAGGTCATAATAATGCTCATAATATGCAAGGCAAAATTGTGAGGAGTTAATGAAACAAAGTCAAAAAATTAGCTTTGTCTTCAAGATGCAATATGATCGAGCAATAAATACATATCATGTTTGTCTAAATACTTCTATGGATTATGTGAAGTTTTTTCTTAGACAAGGACTAGCTTTTCAAAGGCAAGATGAAATTTCATAGCCATAAATTAAGAATTTTTTTTGAGTTATTTCAATTTTTAGCAAAACATAATGAAGAGATAAAATATGTGGTATTAAACAATGCTCCCGAGAATTTCAAGTTAAGAGCTCCTAATATTTAGAAAGATATTATTAGAGCTATCTTGATTGCAAAAACAAATTACATAAAAAGGAAGTTGGTGATATTTTTTTTTAATTATGTTTGATGAATCGTGTGACATATTAGGAAAAGAATAAATTGCTATTGTGATACGATATGTGAATCAAAAAGGTCAAATTTTTTAATGTTTCTTGGGAATTATATATATTCCAGAAATATCAGTTAGATACATCAAAATAGCAGTTGAGCAAGTCCTCTCAAGTTACAAATTATGCAATTCACAAATTTGTGGTCAAGGTTAGGATGACGCAATCAATATGAGAGGAAAATTTAATAGGCTTAAAACACTTTTTTGAATAAAAATAAATCAACATATTATATTCACTTCTTCTCATATCAACTTCAGTTAGCCTTAGTAGCTGTTGCAAAAAATTATGTTCAAATTTCCTTCTTGTTTGCCATAATTTTAAATATGATGAATATTGGCGATGTTTCAAGCAAACGTCGAGATCACATAAGAGAGAAATAACGAGAAATGACTTTAAGTGGATTACGCAATGGTGAAGAATTTAAGGGATAAGGTTTAAATCAAGAAAATTCTTGAGGCATGCTGGCAAAACAAGATGGGGTTCTCATTACGAGTTATTGATTAGATTATTCATAATGTTCTCCTCAGTTATTGATGAACTAAAAATTATTTTGGAGGATGACATAAGCTCTGAATAGAGAGGCGAGACATTCACATTATTAGAATTATTACAACCTTTCGAATTCTCTTTTTTTCCTGCATCTAATGAAAACATATTGCGAGATTACATGTCTTTATTTCAAATATCTAAAATTAGATTACAAGTTATGAGAGAAAATAAGTGGGATGACTTCATTAATAAAGTGACTACAATTTGTGATCAACACAGAAATTTAATTCGAATCTAAATGATAAATGGGTTGCTCGTGGATGCCCTCGATGTAGACTCGAAGAAATGACAAATTTACACAATTTTTAGTTGAGATAATATTCTACATAAATATTGATATGCAACTTCAAGAGTTGAATAATCATTTCACAGAGACAAATAGTGAATTACTTTTGTGTATTGCTTGCTTAAATCCATTTAATTCATTAAACAAAAAACAAGCTAATTATAATGACAAACTTATATCAAAATGATTTCTCTACTTAAGATTTCATGATTTTTGAAAATTTGTTAGAAACTTACATTATGGGTATGAGGTTTGATGTACAATTTTTTTTATTAAAAGTATTGAAAGTTTTGCTGAGAAAATGATTTAGAGCATGAAGGAAATTGTATATCGTCTTATTTTTAGATCGTTAAAGCTTGCATTAATATCATCCGTTGTAACAATTAGTGTTCAAAGAATATTTTTTGCAATGACTATCATAAAAAATTAATTGTGAAATTGAATTAGAGATAAATGGATGAATGATGCTTTACTTTCTTATACTGAAAAATAAATATTACATTGTATTGATAATGATGTTGTTATTCAACTTTTTTAGAATATGAAGACCAGACATTACAAATTGTAAGTATTTTTTTAATCTTATATTCAGTAGTTTATCTTTTTTTTAAAAAATAAAAAATACCAACACTTATCCCAAGCCTGGATGAAAAAGATTGATGGAAAAAAAAAATAAGGTCCCCTTATAAAAAGTTTATGGCTTCGCCACTAAGGCTGACTTAGATGAAAAACCCACTATATATATCGTAAAATACAATAATACTTTTTCCCTCATCATTGAACAAGATAACTATTTGAGAAAAAGAGGTTTGATTTCTCTTATAGATGTTAGCAAAAATCATATATCTATAGATAAATAATTAACACTCAACAATAAGACATGATTTCCCTAATAGAGATTATAGAAAGCAAGTGTCTATAGACACATAGCTATTTCCAACATCATGGTTAAATCTTTTTTGAATTTTGGAGAATGTGGCGATTATTGAAGGTGATCGTTGATGGTGATAATGGTTGTCAGTGGAAATAGCTGATAATGGTTATGAGGGGATCGTATCAACTGAAAAATATAAGAGATCTCTCTAGTTTTCTCCTTTCTTCCTCGCTCATGTGAAGAATGTGACTCTATTTATAAGCATTTTGGGATAGACATTTTGATAATTTGAACCATAATCCAAAACACTATATCATACATTCTATATCGATTTCTTTTATTATAAAGTATTTTTTTAGCATTTAAGTGCCTTAATGATGTTGGGATTGAGTGATATTGGGCTCATTGTATTTGTCTTGCCGAGTCACCTGATTCGACTATAAGCATGTTAAATTTGAATATCATATGATCATGTGTTTAATTTCAAAAATTTTCAATTAAAATAATGCCTCAATATTTGTGCAAATCATATGAATTTTTTAGTCATATTAGTTGTATTGCATTTAAATATTTTCCACAAAACGTTACAAATTATTGTTAATTTTTGTTTAATATGTAAGGTTTGCAAAATCTGACATGTTACCATTGTAGTATGAAGTGGTAATTTCAAAACTCAAAAAACTTCCAACCTACATTCGGATGCAGCATTTCGCCGTGCGATAGATGGAATGGATGTAAATATAATTAAAAAAAAAAAAGTCAAAGCGGCCCAATAAAAAAAAAAAAAAAACACGCATAAAAACAAAGAAGTAAAACGGAGGAGGCGAAGGAATCGGCTTGTTTCTGCCCGTCTCCTTCCCGATCTATCGAAATCTGTCCAACTCTCTCTCTCTCTCTCTCTCTCTCTCTCTGCTTCTTCTCTCTAAAAAGGAAGCGAAGCAGAGGTAGGATGTATTTTCTTTAACTGCTGCTATCTTGCTATTGGAGATATTTGTGTTCATCTGCCCCGTTCTCGACTCCGATTCCGACTCTCTGTTATTGCCGCCATGAACGGGAAGGCCTCCGTTACCAAAGAGCTCAATGCTAAGCATAAAAAGGTCCCAACTTGATAGCCTTCTATAGTTCTATGCATCCTTGTTCTTATTTTTCTCGAACTTCTATCTCATCAGAGCCTGAATTGGCGTCAGTTTCTATCAAACTGGCCAGTTGCACTGCCTAACGAGAATTTTTTGAGATTCGAGAGCCGTCTCTTTTTATCTTTTCGGTTTTTGTCAGAGATCTTCTTGCTTTATTTATGGGCTATTCTTTAGGCATGTTTGATCATTTAAACATTTGCAAGTACTTGCCCCGTTCAGGCTTCGAGTTCAAGGAGACCTGGGGTTTGATTTGTTCTTCAATTGGGTCAAATGCTAGGGCGATGATATAACCGGTCATGTATGATTGATATTATTGAAATTGATTGACTGTTCCTACTTATTTCAAATTGATGGTACTGTTTTATTTGATTTGGCTTAATAAAGGTCTGTATTACATATAGATTGAATCAACTGAATATCAGTAATCCTATGGAGTAGGCAATTCTTATGGATTATATTAGGGTTTATTAATCCCTGTATGGCAAATAAAATGTTCTATTTGGTAACGGGATGGATGGTGCTAATCCCGAAATCCACAAAAATGTAACCAGTCCAGGGAGGGTGGTTAGGATTAGGGTGGATTAGTTAAACATGATTAGCCAATCCAGTCAGCCAAACAGATGAAATGTAACATTGTCTAGATTAGACACTCGATCCACACTTAACTTAAAGCTACTACCTAAAGATGCAAGACGCGGACTAATAAATGGAAATGCCAGTGGTTGTGGGTCTTTGATGGTGACGATGCTTGTGATGTTTCTTCCTCTCCATTTCCATGAAAGAGCAGATTTTTCATGGTTTACATAACATATGATATATTTAGGGGAAAAAAAGAACACTTACATGCATCTCAGGCCTTTATGAAATGTTAAGGGCATTGCTTGAATGACATTGACATGCATTTGCATTCACCTGATATGTACGTAAGCTAGATGCTTAGACATGAACCATTGGGAGTCGTTACAGTTGCTATTAATGGCAATAAAATATTAGCCTTTAAACATTTTATGATGGTAGTTGTTCATGGCCTTTGGGCATGGATGGCAGCATGCTTATTTATTGAGATTCATCTGAGGGAAAGACATATACTTCTACATTTATTTTGAACTTAATTATATTGAATTTATATAATATATAATAGATCAGTGTTTCTCTGTTGAATGCTTTGCTTAAATCATTTTTTACATGTTAATGCCCATAATTTTGATTGATGGTAATGACCTAATCTCAAGTTGATCTAAGTTCTAACTCAAGTTCTGGATGTTAATGATATGATATAGTGTTGATTAAGCCTTGGCTTGAGATTTTTTGGATTGGACTTTTATAATTGGCTTATTAGATATTAGATATTGGATCAAACAGTTTCGATCTCTGAAATCTTTCTATTTCTCTCCATGTATATCCATTCAAACAAGCAGTTTTAATTTATTCAAGCAAGCTCGAGATTAGAATGAAAAACGATTGATTTGAAGAAATAGCTCAAGGTCTACTGGTTGGTTTTGATTTGATTCATTTTTTTGTCTTTGAGCCCAAAATTTTTATAACTCTACTTATTATAATGCCAAATTTATAAGGGTGAATGCTGTTAAGATTCAAAATATACAAAAATATAATGGATAACATGACTGCTGCGCTTGAAGATATTTTCTCATGTCTATGTCACAAAGTAATGAATGTTTTTCTTCTCTTTGTATGAATATTTGGGCATTCTTGATCACATGACATTACCTGATTTTGTGTTGATAGATCTCTCAATTTTTAGAGGGTCCTTTTTATTGTGAAGCATAGAAATTCTAGAGAGGTTTGAAAACAATTTTTCTTAGACTTATTCATTGCAACTTGTTAAGACCTACCTTCAGAATAATTAGTATTTGACTCATATGATAATAGTATTTTAGAGGGCTAGTCTAGGGCAATGATATGTTGCCTCTATTATTTCATGGTGAATGCATCGTCCTTGGATTTCCACTTCTACAGTGCAAGGTTATAGCTGTGCACACTAAATCCTAACCCTAGTTCTTGCCTTGGTAGTTGATTCATGTTTTTGAAGCATGTTTCTTGGAATATTTTTTGAGTATATCATTGATGGCTTCATAATTTAGAAATTTTTATGCAAATAATTATTCTTGTAAAGAGACGCTAAATCATTATTTCAGTTGATACAAACTTATAGTTTGCATCTTCTCTTGTTTATGCCTGAAATCATTATTTACATAGGACAGTAGGGTTTAGTTGAAAATATTGATCCGCTGATCTTTAACCTTTTTTTGGACAAAATTCTTCATTTTAGTTTGGTGTTCATTTATTGGTTGGACTTTTCTTTGGTTATGGTATTCGTATGTGGGGATTCGTGTTTAATTCACTTCCAAAAAGACCATATTATTTGTCTTCAGATGAACCTCTAAACTCTGACAACATTGTTTCATTGTGATTCTGGAGTGACAGATCCATTCTACTAGATTCATCATCATCACTAGTATTATCCTAACTATTTAGGATTGGCATTTCATCATGTTATATTCCTAATTGAAATTCCACGTAAGGAATAAGGTCCACGATTCAAACATACTTGCAAGAGCTGGGAGAGTTAATTGATAATAATTAATGAAATGAGATGGGACGTCATCTTTCTCCAAGTGGCTACTGCAGTTTGAAGATATTAATAGGACATGAAGTTATAGAATTAATAATGAAAATGATATGATCTTATAAAGTAGGATATTTTGAAGGATTCATATAAATGAAGGAACCACAATGGTTTCATTAATACTTTAAAGGAATGGGAAGTTTTTTGAAAAGCTTAGTATCCATAAATGGATGTAGTCTCTAAAACGGTTTATCATTATATGTACTTAGCAAGCTGAATGTGGGGTTAGTTAATCCCACACATTCTAAGAAATATTAAACAACTATCTCTAGAATTATTTAATCAAGGTGGAATGAAGAATTGGATGACATAGTTGAATTCCATCTAGGAAATGATCTGCACATCTGGCATATGAGGTTTAAGTCATCCCAGACTTGTCAGTTTGTCCTGTGCAATTACACTTGGAAAGAGAATAATTGCTCCAAAATTGAAATGCTTATCCAAAATTCCAAAAATGTTGACCAAACATTTTGAAACTCACTCTTGAAACTTGCATCTTCATATCCAACAATGTGATCCTTTCCCTTCGCAAGGCAAGAGAATCAACTATTGCACTTTTCAGTTTATAGGATTAATAATACTCTTTTACCAAAAATGACACTTATGGAGCTTGTTCTGTTAAGAATAAGTCCACCAGCCATTTGATCTCTTAATTTTACACATAATTTTGGGTCTAATAACGCTCTTTACAATGTGTTCTTCCACAGCCCCTTTTCTTTTCCTCGAATGCCTCCTCCTACCATGTCTCTCTTATTTTATTCCTTGCACACGGAGCTGACTGAGAGCAGCGTGATAATGATCACTATGCCTAGAACTATATTTTTTATTTGATGTTCTAATTGCTATTGAAATATGACTGACTTATAAGAATACTCGGAAAAATGATATGTAATCGTACTGCAATTTGAATCTGTGTTTTATCTAAAATCATTCTATCTCAATCATGGACATGTGCCCTTTAGAAGCTCAGCTTCAAGTTGTTTTTTAGTCTTTCAATTTAGAATTGCTATTCTCCACGAGCAAATTATAAAGATCTTTCACTTTTCTCTTCGGGGAAAAGCAATCATGTCTTTTTACCATGTAAGTACACCCTTTGGAAGCTTGGATTTAAGTTATTTAGCATGTAATGCAATTTACAATTGTTATTTCCCATACAGCATCTCAATCAATATTTTTGTCGCTCTTTGGCGAAAGACTATCTTGTGTTAGTTGAGGATGAGGCTCTAAATTATTAGAAGTAAAACTATTATGATGTATACAAACTGTACCTTGGCAAATATTTTTAGAATTTTGAAATTAGCAACAAAGCTTTAAATGTTTTCACCTCCATTTTGAAATGCGCACCTTAATGTTCCCTTGTGTGGCTGTCCATGTTTTTTAGGGATATATGACTGCTAGGTTCATCCTTAATGTAAAATTTGTTGGTTTTATTGGCAGTTTTAGCAATTGGTTGCACCCTAAAGCAATTGTACTTATTTTTCCTTTCTTCTTGAGCAATCCGTTTTAGCTATTATTTTACTTGCTTCTAATAATGATATTTTATTTTAATTGAAATTTTGTTTGTAGATGTTGGAGGGACTTCTCAAATTGCCTGAGAACAGAGAATGTGCCGATTGTAAGGCCAAGTAAGGATGATCAATACAACATCAACAATGTCAAGCTTTTATCCCACTATATGGCGTCAGCTACATGAATCTTTTTTTAAGAGTCAAATTCTCTTTTAAATCTAATAAAAAATATCATTTCTAAATTTTTATAACCACGTCTTTTTAGGTCTACCTCTACCTTTCTTAACACTAGCCAAATTTAATACATCTAACTCCTAACCGGGCCATCAAAATGCCAACGTTTTATATGTTCAAATAATGTAAGGCGACTCTCTCTAATCTTATCTGTCATTGAATCTACTCCAACCTTTTCCCGCTATACTCGTTTCACATTCTATTTCTAAGAGTGAAGCCACTCATCCCCTTGAGCATCCTCATCTCTATAGCATTTAGTTTTATATTTCTCTTTTATGGCCAACATGCAACGCTATAAAGAATTGCAGGTCTCACCAACTTCTTATAGAATTAAGGATGATAAATGATGTATCATTTTTTTGCAGATGGAATTTTTAATTTATTGTGCATCTAGAGTCTGCATTTTTTAGAGCATGTTTTCTTAACCTCATTACGATTAATGTAAAAAGGTATCTAATATCTATCAATACTAGCATGTGTGGCTTATTCAAATCGAGCTCCTCTTATTCTTAAAAAGAAGAATAGCCTCTGTATTTACCTTCTTGCTTGTGTTTCCCAGCTCTTTCATATTGTTCAAGAAATGCTGCTGCAGAGCTACTCTTGATTGACCTTGTAACATCCCTAACAGCTCTAGCTCTTAGTTTCTGTTGTTGCCAAAATGATAAGCTTTGCCTGAAAATAGATACATGGTGCTGTTGCAGATTCAAAGTACTCGTGAATATCTATGTTCATGGAGTCTTAATCACTTTATTGATTGCCTTATATATATAGATGCGGAATATCTATGTGCAGGATCTTCAGAGTTTTTCTACCGTTGATTAATAAATCTTTTAATGATTTATTCATGATTTTTAAAACTTTGATCACGAGAGATGGCTATCCTAGCATAAGATTGTGGAACTTAAAAAAATGAAAAATTATTAATATTCAATAGTCAAATATTGGTTATTAAAAGAAGAGTCTACTTTACTGTCAAAACAAACTTGATGAGCCAGAAAATAACTAGTTATATTAATGTGGTCAAAATTTGTTATAGGAGTCTAAATTTAAAGATGATTTGTTGGTGGTGCGATGAGAAAAGAAGTTTGCTTTTAAATTGAGTGGACGCAAATTTTTTCGAATCACATCATAATTATGAAGAAGTAAAGAAAAAGTTTTGAGTGCAAGCAAAGTTTAGGCTTATATTTTTGATGATTTATATTGTAAGCTAGATACTAAAACGAGGAAAAAAGGACTTAAATAATAGCTAAGGCAAAAGAAGGAAACTTAGAGAGTTTGATCTAGGTGGGCATACTATAAGTGATCGTGGGGAATTTTCTGAACATAAAGACTGCAAATTAAGATGGATACCCTCAGATGGGATGCACAATTGCAAGGGTAGTTACATAAAGTGATGTGAATCAATGTAGGAATTGCGTTCGGAAATTAAAATAAAGATTATTCAAAGCGTGTCATAACAAATTTTAATTACCAACAAAAGTAAAGGGTTAAATCATTCAAAGTAGTTAACTTGCTTAGGCGAAGATGTGTTTTGAGTTAACCAAACCAATCTTATCATTCAAAGATAAATGAAACACTTAAATACTCATAACAAAAATCCCGCAATTAATAATAAAGAAGTTCACCTTGAGTACCCTTTCTCTCTCTCTCTCGTTCACTCTTGGGCTTTAGCGGAGAATAAGGAACCATGCGAGGATGAAGAGCACCACTATGATGAAGGCGACGAAAGACGTTGTTGCCGGAAAGGTATTCACCGGAGAAGGTGGTGGCGGATGGCGTCCAATGATCGTCCAAGTGTAACCACGCAATTGTCGGTCGAAAATACTTGCGAGGATCGGGACGACTCGCTCCAAGTACTCTTCGATTGTAGTTTCGTCTTCAAATCCTACGTCGAAGCAAGGAGAGCGTAGGATATCGATGCTCCCGTCGGCGCGGAAAACTAATCCCCACTCAAGGCTCCGGATCCCGCCATTTCAACATTGCATAGGCAAGTGGGGTGTTGGCGGAATTTCCCTATCACAAGGGGCAAGGCCGGCGGTTGCAAGGGAAGAGGGAGCTTGGCTTGGGAGGAGAGTAGAGGTTAGTAAAAGAGCAAGAGGATTTAACCCAATCCATGAATTAATTTTCAGGTTTAAGTGGATTTGAGGGATTCCAATTGAAATTAATTTCAAATTTCAAATGGATTAATGGAGGAATTAATGGGCATTTAGGGGGCAATTAAGGGTGTGATTGATGATAGGTGGCAAATAGAGAGAGAAACGGCTGAGTTGGAGGGCGGCCAAGCAGGGGAAGAAAGAGGAGTTTTGCTTAATTGGTGGGCCCCAATGTCATAAGTAAAATCTGATTTTTAACTTTCATGATTTTTATTATTAGGGAGATTTTGAAATTTTGAATTCAAATGGATGAGATTTCAATTAAATCTATTCCTAAATATAGGGTTACTTTAGTAAGAAATAATGATACGAAAAATGGTGAAAATTTCAAAATTCAGGAAGAGTGGGGCGGCGGGATCTCCCCAGGGAAGAGGTGGACGTTGTTGGCTGGGCGGTTGGTTGGCCCAGCCCGGGCTAGCCTGACAGCAGGTGTGGCGCAATGGAAACGGGTGCAGGGATTTTGGATTGGCGGCAGAGGAAGGGGGAGGCGAGGTTCAGGCAGGGGGAGTCGGTGGCTGTGGGGAAATTTTAGGCGGGTTGTGCTGCAGGAGAATTTAGAGAGGAGGAGGGGTGGTCGGGTGAGGTGGAATGGGGTGGCGAGGAAGAGAAAACAACGAACAAACAATCAAACCATAGAGCTCACCGTAGTGGGCTGTTGGGTGCTTCGGGTGGAGCCTCTCATAGGCCTCCTCTCTCTTTTCTCAAGCTCTCAAGCAAGAAGACAAAGGCAAAATCTCGAATCTTGTCATTAATCAACTTAACCTCATACATCAAGAAGAGACCTCTTTTATAAAGGTCTCAAACATGAAAAGAAAAACAAAAGACTCATATGCCCCTTGGGCTACAATAAACACTACGCCTACATAAGGGCGAAATCGTCACTAGTACATGAAATAAAAGATACACAAAATAAAACAACATGATAACATCAAAAATATAAACTCCCGATCGTAGCCGTCGATCTACGATTCCTTCGCCGATAAACCTGCCTAAAATGTCTGTCGATGACCTCATCATAAAGACTTTATATGAGTTTAAGGAGAAAGCTCATGCCAAATTTATTGATGTCTTATTTTTTACTAGGCCTCCAATTCCTTGAGCATTGCTGTTGGGCCTCTAAGTACCTGAAGTGTAGACATAGCAAGGCTAGTTTATCATGAGGATCCAAGAGAACCTCCTCAATCAACACTGCCAGAGAATTCCTTTTGTTTGCAGGGCGTTATCCATAATAAACATCAACACACTAATTTTGCCATTGTAGTAGTCTTTTGGCCTAAACATTAGTTTGAGTTTATTTCAAAACTTGGTTGAGGAAGCATGATGAGAAATAAGGGTATGCCTGCACATGCAAAATATGCAATGCTCAAATCCCTAGACAAATAAGCTTAGGAATTACTTCATTTTACACTTTCAAGTAGTGGCTCAAAAAGATGAAAATAGCCCTGATGAAAGAGGCAATGGGTTCTCAATTTGAACCCTCTCACATGGGATGGTCATGACGACATTAATCATAAACTGTTTGATCGGTTCAACCATAAACCAGTCATATAGCCGGTTCGGTTCATCTTAAAAATCGACTCTATATCAACCTAGTATAAACTGAAGAGAACCACTGGGTGGACAAATTGTCGAACTGATCCCTGTTTTTTAGAACCGGTTTATTCAATTGCTATTCGTTTTAAATAATTAAATAAATTAATTTAGTAAATCAAGTTAAATTAATTAAATTTTCTTAATGATTATTTATCAACCAAGTACCAACAAAACATACTCACATGGTTTCATGATCCCATGTGAGTTTCCAACAAATGTAAACCAAAACAATTATATAAACATAACTAAAACAAAGTTCTTAAATGATGTGGAACTAAATAATTTAGTTGAAGTTTTTAAACGACACATACATTACATATTTTTAAATAATTTTTTTCATTAATTTTTAATAATATGAATAATATTTATTTTTTGATTAAGCATATTTAATTGTTTATTTATTTATTTATTTATAATTATACATTATTAAAAACTATGTTTTATCTATTTATTAATGATAAATGATCTAACATGAATGATTTATAAATGTAGTTTTATAATATGAATTTAGTTTATAATTTATAATTGTAAATTTTTTCTTAATATATAACATAAATTGACAATAATTTATATTAAATTTATAAGTATATATATATGAACTAAATTTATTTTTTAATCATAAATTTTTATTATTGTATAATTATTATGTTATTATTATATCATCTATTTTTTATTTAAATAATTTTAATATTTATAATATCATTCAGTTCAACCCCCAATTAAGTCCTGATCAAACCATTGAACATTGAACCTCTCATTTTTTCTATTTGACTTCGGTCCATTTTTTAGAACCTTGTATTTAATCCACTAGAAAGTAGAAACTTCACTTGAAAAATAATTTTGAATTAATCGGGATGAGTTATATATAAATATATAACTTACTAGGTCTATAACAATTTAAAACTACAGTAACGTAAAGGAAAAGGAAAGGAAGCGATATGCATGTAAGTTATCATAATTAAGTTATAAAAAATCATAGAACATGAATTTTCCTTTAATAGAATTTGTGAATATAAATATTAATTTGTAGTCAGAGTTAAAAATAATTTAATAAATCATAAAATTTAACTTAACAATTTTTTATGATCCAGACTCGTCTGATGTTTTATAATATAAGTACCACTATCTTTGAAGTTGTATTTCTTGGCTTTCATCCCCTTGAATGTCCATATGCCAATATCAGATATAAAATATTAAAATGAAGATTTTTGTATAGGAAGAATGATTCTTCACTCAAATTATTTTGATCACATACCTATGACTATATCTCAATCATCCTAAGAGCTTAAACATATCCTTCATGACATCATAAACCCATCCACCACATGTCATAAGCCCTAGAATGCCTTAGGATTCTAATCCTCACCTACATCACGGATTGTCTTCCTGGCAAGGCCTTATTGTTTGTTAATTTTAACTTATATCTCTATTTTGATTTTTCATTGCTTGTTTAAAGAAATTAATCACCATTGAATAAACAAAAGTAGAACACAAGCAAAATTATTTAATTGAGAATTTTCCTGAGCATCACTCAAAATGTTATTAACCTTGAAACATTGTTCTTTTGGGATACTACAACCCCCAAAAACTCTAAATTTCAAAATATAAGAAATTCATGGGATTCAGAGAACTGACTTGGACATCATTGGTATCTTGAGTTTGTAGAGTTGATTAATTTACAATCAATTATATATAGTAATTTATTGATACCATCCCAAGTCAACATTCCCCCTAATTTTAAATCTCTTTTCTCATATTTAAAAAAAAAAAAAAACCATGCCATAAAACAATGCTGATCTTCAAGCTTGATGCATGACTTCAATCTTCAAGCTTGATGCATGACTCCAATTTGCAATCTTATGGTATGTCTGTGTGCATGGGATTGTGGTGCATTAAGGCGTATATTAGTTTGTTTACTAAAGGAAAAACCAACATATAAAATAGCCAGTTAAGAGATATGAGAATAAAGGCTTTTATTAAGTTAAATGCATTAAGAGTAATGGAAATATGATCTTAATTCAAGACAAAGAAGTCAAGGAAAAATGAAATAACTATTTTAAAAATTATTAACCAAGTGTATCTCTAGGAATAAAAGTTTTTTGGAAGAGCATAATGAATAAAATAATGATTTATATTATAGATTAATCAAAAAACGTGATTTGCATTAATTATGATGATTATGCATAATATAAATTTTTAGGTCCAAATGAGATACCTGTTGAGATTTGATGAGTTATGGTTGGTGTTGGAGTAGTTTGGTTTAATAATATGCCACATGATTAGAGAAATATTTTTGTATTAATATTCAATAACAAGGGAGGCATTTTGGTGGAATAAATAATTATGCGGTAATCAAATTTATTTGTCATATAACGAATATGTGGGATAGAAACATAGACTTAGAAAATCTTTGTCATTATCGGAAAACCAAATATATTTTATACTATGGAGGTCCTTTGTGAATGCAATTTTGGTATTAAGGCAATTAACGAAAAAAGAATAAAGAGAGCAAATAAAATTCTATATAAATAGAGAAAGAGGGGATTGGATAAGGGAGAGATGGAGTCTTTTCAGATTCTGTTTTGTGCAACTAAAGAATGTTTCCCTCTCTGTAATTTTTTGTGAATGCATATGTTTCTGCTTCTGTACTTCTATAGCTAGTTATTTCTTGGGATGATGGAGTGTTCATCTTTGTTTTTTTTTTATTGAAATGATGATGCAATGTTGTTTTTTTATTGAAATGTAAAACTTTATCTTATTGTTGGTACAAATTATTGCAGAGGTCCACGATGGGCAAGTGTAAACTTAGGCATCTTTATTTGCATGCAATGCTCGGGAGTACATAGAAGCTTGGGGGTTCACATCTCAAAGGTCAAATGCAATGTCTAATTTAGTGAACCATGGTTATTTCATTATACTAATCACTTTGCTGAAGGATACAGGCTCTTGGCCAGATATTGCTCAATTTTTCTAATTTCTAATGTTCATGCTCAGTGTTCCACTCCATCTAAATTGGTTCTCGATCTTTGTAGGTGAGGTCTGCTACACTAGATACGTGGCTTCCAGAACAGGTTGCGTTTATCCAATGTAAATAACCTTCAGCCTCAGCTCACAGACAAGCAGAAAATTTAGGCACTTCATTTTGTTTTCTTTAACGATCAGTCATCTTGGCCATTTTTCACAGCGATGGGAAATGAGAAGTCAAATAGTTATTGGGAAGCAGAACTTCCTCCAAATTATGACAGGGTTGGAATTGAAAATTTTATTCGAGCAAAGTAGGTATTTCAAATTTATAGTGTCCATTCTAGAAAACTATGCATCTCAATGATTTTCTTGTAAATATTATTTAATTTGTTTCATTAATTTGTCAAAAAATTATTATGTCCAGATACGATGACAAAAGATGGATACCAAAGGATGGAACATCTAAATCTTCAAAGGCACCTGAGGAAAGAACTTACGAACCCGTGCAGAAGTCTGTGGATAGATGTGGGAATAGGAATATCAATAGTTTGGCGTCCATGGAGGAGGTTAAAATGGTTCCACTTCAAACTATAAAGAAGAGTGTAGCGGTGTCTTCTAAAACTCCTGCTCAAGTAACTATGGTATGCGCATATTTCTAGAAGAAGTTTCAAATTATAGCTAAAATACGTTGACAGGTGGAAATGGTATTAAATAAGAATTAATAAATTTTACTTATAATTACTCATTGAATTCAAACGAGCTATGCAATATAAAGTGAAACTTTATTGGCTTATGCAATATTATGCTCAGTTTGCTAACTAAGCACAAATACTTGATCATCTGGATTTTTTATTTTTGTATTAATGCTATCTTGACTTTTTGGGGTCAACTTTAGAATCCCTTTTCTCCATTCATTCTTGTGGAGTGCTATATGAGCTAAATTTAATTTAAGTGGTTGTTTGGTTTGAAGTAGAATGGGTGAAAAATATTCTAAGTACTGGGGTTTTGAGAATATTAGTGTTTGACTTGAAGTAAAAGTTTGATGTATTTGAAATTCATCTAGTTCAATTTTGATGTATTTGAAATTTCTGATATTTGAAGATTTCCAAATACACCATAAATTCATCACCATTGCCACTATCCGCCGCTAATTGTCCCCACCATCGTCCTCCGACCGTGGCCAGTAGCCACTACCCACCTCTGGTTACTGCTGCTTCCACTTGTCACATCACCGCTGTCGCCACCACTCGTTGTCGACCACAACTCACCACTGCCGCCTCTACCAACGACCACTATTCATTACTGCCCGCCACCTTCGTTGCCGCCGACCACCCGCCACCGCCCATCACCACCATCCACAACAAAACCTCTAGCTGTTGCTGTCATTATCATAAGCGACAATGTTTAAAATTGCGTAATCGGGTATTGATGCGTTTTTCGTTTGTGAGGCGCGACGTAAGCCTCAAGGCGTTTTGAGGCGTAAGGTTCAAAATTAAAAAATTGCGTAAACATAAAATGATAAATTTTGTATATACTAATGAGTAAATAATATATAAAACATAAAAATGCACAAGATATGAAGTGAAATCAAAATATCCTTATAATAAGACAACATAAAATATAGTTCAACTCAAATTCCATCTTTCCCAAATCACAATATTCTTTTCATTAACCCATACTTCCAAAAATAAATAGCAATGACATATCATATAAGAACTCATAAGTCATCAGCACTGTCATCACTAAGCGGGTCTTCATTTGAATTATCATTATGATGAATTGCTCTCTCCCCTTCCTCCTCTCATATAGAGTCCAATGTCTCCCAATCAGGTCATTCTTCCTCAATATCAGTTATCTTCCTCTTCCCTAAATATTTTTGAACAATCTCAAAATAAATAATAGTGTAATACATTAATAAAAGTCTAAGAAAATTCTATTATTTATATACATTTTTTGATTTGTTTTTGAGTTGTGGTGGATGTAGATGCTTTAAGACCATCAAATAAATCAACATTTAAATTTTCATATTGTAATTCAGACGGCATCACTTCAACTTCATCATCTATAAACGACTCATCATCAGATGCCACTTCCTTGCAAAGCAAAGGATCTTCATCATCTATTAATCCTTTTTTCTTTAAATTCCTATCTTTGAGTCTCCTATTGTATATAATGTACACCAATGAATTCATCCTTAATGTGGATAAGCGATTTCTTCTCTTTGTATGTACTTGGTTGTAGGTACTCCATTTTTTTTCACTGCCATATGAAGAGCATGTCAAGCCCAAAACTTTCACAATAAAATGCTGCAATTCTGGAGTCCCATCGCCAAATTGAATAAACCACTCAACTAATATTTATATAAGAGAGTTTAATTAGTGCAAAAAAATAACTTTTAAATAAAATTTTAAAATATTAAATAAAATTACGGAGATCTTTTGACAATTGTATCATTTGTTTGTTGTAATCCAAAAAAGCCTTCTTTGTTCCTAAAAGGTACCAATTGCATGTTAGCATTTGATCTTTCAGTTGCATCACTTATTAGCCGATCTATGCAATAATACAATCCCAACTTTATTTCAAGGTTTGTAGACTTGTTCTCTGCATATTGATACCGAGGATTTATGTAATAACCAGCTGCATGCAAGTGCCGGTGATGTTGTAGCTCCCACCTATCATCAATAATATTCCAAATTTTCCTAAAGTTACCCTCTTCGCCTCCTAAGTTGGAGGCAATCATTTCTTTGCCTTCATCCATGACATTGTAGATGAAATCCATTGCAGGCTTCTTCTCAGCATACACCATTCTGATGGACCGGACCGGCCGGTCCAGCCCACAGCAACACCGGCCCAAAAAGGGTCGGTTCTCACGTACTGCAGGCGGAGAACCCGCCTGCCTGGGTGCTCGGCCGAAAGGGAGAGAGGAGGCGGGTGGGTCCAAGGGGGCCAACAAATTGAAGAGGGAGGATGATGTGTTTGCCCTAGGGGTAATTAGGGGTTTATGGGGGGGTTTTTGTGGGAGTTAGGGTTGGTTTTGGAGGCATCTTGTTTTGGTGGCTGTTTTTAGTTTCTTCTAATCTAGGGCTTGGGAGAAAGCTTCTCTTCTCGAATTGAGAGCATTGTATCCGTGGAAACTTGTAAGTCTTTTGATATTTAAGTAACCGAAGTGTTTGTGAGTGTTTTCATCCAAGAAATCCTCCATTTTTCCACTGTTTTTGGGCTGTTTTTCCTGGATTCCGAATTTTGCAACTCAAGTTCCATCAAAGTGGTATCAGAGCTCTAGATCCACAAGGAAGGGATGGGTACACGAAGGATTGAATCTATTGAAGAGAAAATTGGAGAGGGGAGTGGAGTTCACCACCCTCAAAGAGAAATTTGCATCCTTTGACGAAAAGCTTGATGGAGTAGACGAGTTGAAGACTCAAATGTTAGGGTTACAAGAGATGATCAAACAAATGGTGGCGGGCCAACACAACATGGGGGGTTCGGCTAACCCTAACCCTAACCCTAATG